TGTTATTTTTAGTTTTTGAATGGATCTTGCATAACTTAGTTTAAAACAGCATAGAAGAAATTATTTGCCATCATAAGGACACAAACACTGTATTTGGTGCCATGTTTTCACCTGAATCAAAATTTCAGATTAAAGCGGGAACAAGCAAAAGCCTGGCAAAGCCTGGAGTGTAATAACAGTGTCTGACTGTGAAATCTCGGTTGGCTCAGCAAATACCTGAAAACTACCTGAAATATGCTCCTCCTTAAAGTCTGCATGGTTTGAAACACATTTTCCAATCGTTCTTGTCAGGACGAACGGCTGAACTGACAGCGCGGTAAATTCAGAAACTGCCAGTGCAAGAGTGACACGAAAAGCTGAACTAAAGAAGCATGAAAAAAACATACATAAGCTTAAAACTGCAATACGTACTCAATAAAAGTGTAATTTTTAAACGACTGCAAACAAGCCGAAACTGGAAAGAGTTCGAAAATTTGCGGTCTGACAGTCAAAGTTTCGTTTGATTTGTACAAGAATAAAAATGCACATGAATTAAAGGGTCATTTGAACCGACTGGTCTGCATTTGGCCGAAAAACAAGCTGAGTCATGCAATGATTAACTTCGAGCAAAAATTATTTGCGAACCCTGTTCACTCAAACAACCTGCAACACGACGATTCCCGCGGAGCGACCGAAGGACAACTCGCACTGAACATCACGGCGTGGTCACAAGTCCGTTTACTGGCCAAAATTGGAAGGCTAACGAAATTTAGAAATAAAACTAAAGCTATATAACAATTAAATGAATAGAAATGATACAAAAAAGGTAGAAAAGATGAACTTACCTGAAGGAATCACATGAAAAAAGATGTCCGCTGCTTCGCTTCACAGTACAACGATGAACAACGTCTAAACTAAGGGTGTGTCATTTAAACACCTCTTCATATATGTGATTAAAATTCATACCACGCAACTACACGAAAAAATGCTTGAATTAAACAGAATGCATTATAAGGCGTCTTCAGAATTTTTTCGTCAAGATTTTTGGTCCTTAAATCACTTCAACAATGATGCCTTGAGAAAAGCACGCACTTCGATTATATCATCAATGCGGAATGTTGCTTTTGTTTCAATAAGCGCGTCGCTGACTTTTTGTTTTCAAGCTTTTACCATCGAGGTATATTTAGAATTCTTCCATTAGGTGGATTCTTATTTAATTTTTTTTCAGGGAAAGCAAACGAATGAATATTACCGTAACATAATTTAATAGATGCAAAACTTCTGAGCGTTGAACACTTTGTTTTGTGGTACTCGGCTAAATTCAGTACTTGAAACGGTTTCAGTATTCAGAGCGGAAAAAGTACTGCGCAGCTTTCTGCGCGGTACGCGAGGATGTCGCTCGGTTGATTTTTGTATATCTGCCAAGCATGAATTTTTTTCCGGCATTTCACTGTTAAGAAAACAAGGTCCCCTGCCTGCTCAGAGGTTCTCTTGCTTATCTATTCAGTGGTGTGCTTATGTGAATGTAATATGCAAAGAGAGTTTGTGGGAAAAAAAAATGTCATTCTTGTATACCGCGGGGAAATAAAGGGTTCGGAAAACTTCTTTAGGTTAATTTTGTCTGAAAAAAATTGATTCCCACGAAAATAATACACCAGCTTCCCATTAGTGACGTGAAAATGTTGCAGTTTACCGAGGAAATGGGAAAGTATATAAATTTCGTAATTGTTTTTGGTTTGCACGATCGACGAAATTTCC